CAATGAGTATCATGAATAGTTTTGTCAATGATATTTTTGAACGTATCGCTACTGAGTTATTCAGGTTGGCTCATTACAACAAGAGATCGACGATTACATCACGCGAAATTCAAACAGCTGTTCGACTACTTCTACCTGGTGAGCTGGCTAAGCACGCTGTAAGTGAAGGGACAAAAGTTGTTACTAAATACACCAGCTCCAAATAAATTGATCCTTACAATAAACAATATAAGGTAATATAAGTAAAATGATCATAAAAAAGGTTATTGTTTTAATAATTAAAGATATAAGAGAATGAAAGTATTGTAAAATAAAATTAAAATGTAATCTTAAGGGAGTTTTAACAAATTTGTTATAAACAAAAAAATTAAAAGATGACAAAATTGCGGATTTCAATGATTAGGAAGTTTGTCATCAGGGCACAAAGTAAGCCCAGACCAATTTTTTTTTGCATGTTTCTTTTTTCATTGTGATTACTTAGTAGTTAGTTCTTTATACTCGTCATAAAAAAATAAAATAAAATCTTCAAATTTTTGATAAAAATGAAAGTGAAAAAGAATTGTTAGTGAGAATGAAAGATAACTCCTCAAGAATCTTCTGTAAAAAGGAGATGAAATATATTTTTTTTTTAACTTTTATCACAAGTTTTTTTTTATTTTTTCTAAATTCACAATTTCGCGAACTACAATATAAAATACTCGAGTAAATTTACAACCTTTTTATAAGAATTTGATTTTTTAAAATTATTAAACTCTAATTTTAAACTAAAATTTTAAAATAAAGCAATATAAATTGACAAATATTTGTAAATTAAATCGATTAGGAATTCATACAACTGTTTATTCATGAATTCATTCAAGTGATTATTTATTTAACAAATTGCTATGTCACTATTTTACATTATTCCATTGTTTTTTTTTGCATAAATAATAAAATAAATATTCTACATTAAAATTAGATTTACAAATAATTTACACTCATGCTTCAATATTTTTTCATTTTGCTGCAAAAAAATAAAAAATACCTATACAAAAAAATATTTTTACACTATAACAGTCATATAAATATTTTTTTAATTTAAATAACAGAATATAAAATTGACAACAAAAATTTTATTAACATTTCTCTATTTAAAACATTGAAAATACTATTTCAATTTATTTTAATATATATGTTATGAACATTTTATTGAATCGCTTGAGGCTCAAGTAATACAGTTATAATTTTTTGCTTACATTCCTGTCAACAATGCCAATTCATAAACTCATATCTCGTATATTATATTCACGGGTATTATTATATAATATGTCTGCTACCCTACTAACCGAACATGTATAAGCTTATTTATTTAAAACTCGTATGGGTTTTCAAAACCTAAGTAAACTTCTTCCTTCTTTGAAAAGAAGAATATAAGAGATTCAAATAAAACTTGATATTAAAAATTTTATGTAACGTTTCCTACTTTAAATTTAGTTGTAATATATACTTCATATCACAGTTATTAGTCACATTATTTTTATTCAGTGCATATAAAAAATTTGCTTTTTTATTTCTTCGCAAATATTTAATCAATGTTTTTTTAACTTTTTTTTTTATAATAACAAAGAAATCAAATAAATTATATTTATTAAATATTTAGTCAATAACTGTAACTTTGACTTTTTATAAATTTAGGTTTGATTTAATATAAGTTTATTTCACTTTTAAGTTGTTTACATTCCTCTACATGAACTTGAATATTACACTGAAACATTGAAGACAGTATGATCAAATTTTTAATGTTCAAAAAAATGATTGTGGAAGCAAATATAATATTTTTTGAATGTTTCTTAAAATCATTTTTTATATAAAATTGTTTGGATTAATTTTTTTTTTGTATTAAATTAAGCACTTGAGAGGAGTGAAAAAATATTTTCTAATATTTCTTTCGTGTCATTCAGTTGGAGGAATAAAGATAATATAATAACATTGACTAAAAATGATAAAAAAATTAATTTTTACAAAAATCATGACAACAGCGACGTATCGGAGGAGGAACCAAGCTCGAAAAAGGTTTGAGTGGATAAATTTTTATCACACTCAATCCGTCAAGCTCTGAGATAAAATAGAATTGAACTAATTTGATCTTATGGACTTATAGTCAATAATCCAGTTGGCCTCAAATAATTTTTGTTGTTGTTTTATCGAAATTCATTCTTATTTTGTGATGCCATGGAAACCGTAGTCGTGCCCTGTAAAAATCAAAAGCAATTTTTTTTTAAACACTAAATAAAAAGATCAACACTAATTAAAATACGCTTCTTTGAACTCATAAATATTTCCAATAGTTCCAATTAAAATACAATGTTTCAAAGATGACTAGTAAATAGACCAATCTTTAAATATTTAGATAAATGATAATTGTCATGTAATTAAATTTTACTATTTAAAATAAATATAATCATACCATGATGGTCGCTTGAGTTTAATTTCATACTCATGTGTTCATTGTATTTGCTAACCAGAACATACCCATATAATATGAGCATACAACGTTGTTCCTGTATTAGATCTAAAACATTTTTGTCTGTGTATTTGTAATAGAACGCAAAAAATTTTTCAATTAATATTCTAAAGTAAATATATGTCCCCATCTATAAATAATTTGACAAACGACTGAATTTGTTGTTAGCAACACTTGACCGATTTGTTTATGTTCAATTTCTGACTGAGACTTAAGCTGACCGGACGTTTTCCCTGTCTTTGAGATCTTGCAATTGATTTAATAAACGATTCCATTCTTTTATAATACGTCTTGGAGTTATTATTTCGTCATATTTTAAAATATACATGCACAACAAAGACACAATAAATACCATAATTATTTTCTTACAAACAACTTTCGAAATATCTGAATGTTGAAATTTAGCTTATTCAATTGCCGCTTGTTTATTCATTCTAAATCACTTAGTACCATTGTAATTAATTGCTCTGAACCAAATGATACTCGCTAATACTAATTATTGTTACTCTCGTACTTACTGAAGAAGTAGTGAAGGCTCCCACACGTGATGCTGGATTTCGAGCTAGCTCACTTGCTAGATTCACTTGCAGGCTACCATGAATGGTATGTCATTTGATTATTAAAATTTATTAAAATTTGATTATAGTTAACAAGTGGCATGCTTGAATTTGGCGAGATGGTTAATATATTTATATTATATTTTTATATCATATTTTTGTTTCAACTCTGAACAATATATTACAAAAGCATTAATTTGGTTATTGAAAGAACACTTTTGAAATATTAATATACTTTTTATATAAATTATTAAAATGCATTTGAATGGATAACTCTATTGGCATAAGACATATTGTATAGGTGGAGGAAGAGAAGAACGAATGGTCGTGGCAGTTTGAATTGTATATCATAAATGTATATATGTACACACGACATATATATCGTTTCAGATTTTCGTCCTTCCATTGTTGGCATAAGTATTGGGCAAGCGATGCGCGTGATTCTCGGATGTATGTTCAAGTACTTACACCCAATAAAACGACAGGGAGAGGAGAGTAGATATGCAGGGTTGAATTGCGGCCACAGGAAACTGAGAGTCGACGTTCATAATAATGGGGGATAGACTCCCTATATGCCATGTGTAATGTAAGCATCTTTATATTGCATACGAGCTTATATTATGACCATATTAATGAGCAGACAATGTTTACGGCAGATTAATTAAACTACATCCATGACTTTGCTAATAATTTTTACCGGATATTAATGAAACGAATATAAATATAATCTATTTGATTTTATGTCAAGAATATTCAGCAATCTAAGTATATTGCCGATGCTAGAATACATTTAGATTTTTATATTAACACTTTTTATGAGAGGAAATAGGGTAAGATGGCCATATGATCTAAAATTGACTTGCACTTAATAATATTTATTCAACTGAAGAATAATTCTTAATGAAGAATTTTATTATATATTTTATTATATTAATATGATAAAAATATTCAAAATCAATGTGGATCTGTTTTTTGAGCCTGATTGAGAATACGGTCTCTTATCTTACACCTTTAAACTTTCGCAAATAAAGGAATTCTTAGAGAAGTTATCTTGTTTCAGATTTCCCTATAATTATTATTATTGTTATATATTATACACGGAGAGAGTTTTTGCACAAATCGTAAGTGAAAAATGACAAAAGCACTTTTTGAATAATAGAAGTATATAGTACATTTCACACCTAGGGAGGGAAAGTAGTCTAGCTCAAACCACGTGTAAAATTACAACCTGAGGGAAAAGCGAGGGTGGTAAACATGTGATTTAAGCTAGTCTAATTGTCCTCCTAAAAAATAAAAAATATTCCTATTTAACAGTGAATTTTGAATTGAACCCAAAATTTACTGTTACATAGATAATTTTTACTTTAAATTTCGAAACGTATGCATTGTAAATCCAAGTGCAATCTTATTACACATCTGAGCGTGTTAAATATGGCGTTACCCATTTGATTAAAATTGTAGTCACTTTTTACACACTTAGAAACGCATTAAAAGTGACAACAAGGTTAATCAAATGAGTGACGTCATTTTAAACACGTTTAGATGTATAACAAGAATGCACTTTGATTTACAGTGTACTTGTCATTTTTTGCACTTACATTTAGTAAAAAATTCTCTCCGTGTACAGAAGATATCTATAAGTATTTATTCATATTGTGAAATATATGAATGTCTCCATCTATGAATTGATTGACTGACGACAGTTTATTCGACATAAATGGTGTTTTAATTTGGTATAGGAGGGTATAGGAAATTGCATGTATAACCTCAAAAAAAACTAACAAAATCGGATACCATTTGTGTCGCGTAGTGTAGCAATGAGGAGAGAGTTTGTTTATCTCCAGTTTAGGACTGAGACTTGACTTTAGACGTCATATCTTTGATTCTGTATTTGAATCTATCATTTTAATAAACGTTCTTTTAAAATATTAGTTATCCTTATCCTTTTATTTTACAATATAATATATGAATTCTGATACATTATCATTTCTCATTTTAAAAATAAACCTTCCAAAAATACATGCATATTAAAAATAATGAATTTCACAAATTTATATGATTTGTTCCACTGAATCATCATCACTTTCGTTTTTTTCAAAACATGATTGAGATGTTGACGGACCTGGATCATTTACATCACAAAAAACCTTTTCGTTGTTGTTTAGAATTTGTTCACTTTGCTCTATCTTAGCAAGTTGATTATTTATATTTGCTAACTTTTTTTTTAAAATATGAATTTGATTTTCTTTTTCTCTCATTTTTTTTTTTTTTAATTTCTTTTGACGCCATGACTGGATTTGACTTTCCGTCAGTCCAAAAGCAGTTGCTAGATGTCTTTTTTTCTCTGGAGTTAACCACGCTGAAGATAGATTTGACATCATTTGTTGAAATTTTGTTAATCTTTTCTGATGAAGTTGCTTTTTTATTTTCAAGTCTTCATTTCTGGAACGGAAAATGAGAACTTTTAGATCTTATGTTCAAATTTGTAATGTAATTTCTGTATCAGATAAATTTTAGTACACCGGAAATATCAGCAGAATTTATTGTTAGCAATGCTGATTAGAACAAAAACCTTTTTTTATTATACCCCCACTTAAAGTTTGCTCCCAGTTTTCAGGTCCCAAAGCAACGTATCCTATCCCGCATAAAAAGACAAAAAATCGTATGTGCACATGCCTAGACAGGTGTTGTCTTTTTCTGCGAGAGAGAAAACGTCACTTTTCCAACTTCAAAACAGAAATAAACTTTAATTTTGGACGATAATATAATAAAAAATGATATGTTGGCCACGTAACCAAGTAAGATATCTTTACTTGGATATTTGCCACCCTCGCTTTCGGCTCGGGATGCAATTTTACATCCACGTCAGAATATTCTACTTTGCTCCCTTGGTTAACAAATGTACTATTTCTTGATGGGAGTAAATGTAAAACACTTCAATCTGCGAAATTTTATCCTTCGTCTTCAGTTCGGGACGAAATTTTCTTCTGGATAAAATGTTTTACTTTACTCCCTCGGCGCAAAATATACTAATTTCTCTTTAATGAATGTCTTTAATCTTATAAGAGTAAAATAAGTACTTACTTTGTAGATGATTGTTTTTTGAGAATGCTTGACAAGTTCATATTCTTATCTGCCGGAATACTGGTCTCTGTGGTAGATTGAGGCAATGTTGGGGTTGATATTTCACCGTTGAGCATTTGTTTAACAAGCTCACCTAAATCTGGAGATGTATCTTGAAACATCCTTGCAGCATCATAACATTTCTTTTCAATCAAATAATCTACAATAAATACTAAGTTTTCATTTAATTGATAAGAAAAATATGCAGCTTTCAGACGTCAAAGCATGGATGAAACTTAGAGTTAAGAAAAAAAAACCTTCCAGCAAAAATATAAAAGAAATTATAAATATGCCATCTCTTACCTAAAACTAATTGTGCTGTTATAATTGGAGAGGTTGATTCCATTGCTGTTAATAAAATTTTTACCTGATACTGCATTAATATTTAAACTCTAACAATAATCAATCAGTCTTCACAATATCAGTAAGATATCAACATTGATACCAATGATTTTTTACCTTTTATTTTTACTTGATAGCATACTAGCACGGAAAAAATTCTCTAGGAATTTATTACTCGTCAATTTAGAGTAAATTTTACTAGCCGAAAAAATTAAAAATTGGCAATTTTTTTTAGTAAAAATAGCTAAAAAAACTTAAGAAAAAGTATTAGTTTGGCTGGTAAAAATTTCTAGAAAAAAATTGATAAATTCAGAAATTTCCTTTCTATTGAATTGATTAAATATAATTATGCCTACATCAAAGAATTATTTTATACTTTCAGATGTTTTTACTTTACTACGCTGGAACACGTCGGTTTGCCTAATTTTATAACTTAATATTTTTTCATTTTCCTTGACCATGTTTTTATCCGAAGATCGGTCTACTTCAGTTATATGATGGTTAATCGCGATTATTGGAAAATGAGTACAATACTTTGTTTATTGCACTACGGAGTCCTACATTAAATATTATTTGTTGACTGTTATAAATTTTTTTCTAGAAATTTTGACCAACCTGCATAGGACTTCTTACTACTTTTTTGGTAATTTTTACCAGCCAAACTAGTACTTTTTCTTAAGTTTTTTTAGATATTTTTACTAAAAAAAATCGCAATTTTTAACTTTTTTGGCTAGTAAAATTTACTCTAAATTAACTAGTAAAAATTCCTAGAAAATTTTTTTCGTGAAGTTGATTATAAGAAAAACCAAGAACCAAGGTTTCTAAATATTTCATCAATCTTTCAAAATAAACAGGTGTAAACTGCTTTATGAATAGCCGAAAAAATTCAGTTTTCTTTGAATTGTGTAAAATATTAAAATTAACATGTGAAGTACACTGCAAACCGTAGTGTTTCAAAATGATGTCACCTATTTGATTAACATTGTAGTAACTTTTAATGTGTTTCTAATCTAAATGGGTAAAAAGTGACTAAAATGTTAATCAAATGGGTGACGTCATTTCAAAACACAACGATTTACAGTGTACTTCACATGTTAATTTCAAGATTTTACATATTTTTTATCATTTTTTCGAAGAGGTCCACCTCGAACTCGGGGGAGGGGGAGGGGGATTTGCTCTGGTTTCTTCTATCATAAAATTTTCTTCAAAGCCCAGTCGTAGTAAAATTTTAATAGCAAATTTCGTTGTACTTTTCGGACCAGGCTAAAATTTTTTTCATATTTTTTTAATGTTTAAATTATTTTCAAAAGATTTATACGTTTTATTAGATCTCCTGCAAATCAGTGTACTTTTCTAAATAAAAAGCGTTGTCCAAAAAATGCAACAAAATTTTCTATTGACTCTACTTTTTCGCACCACAACTGGACTATTATTTCTGATAATGATAAAAATAGATATGTTACAATATTACTGAATAATAAAAAAACAGTCAGTTCTTACTAACTGTTATACCAGAAGTTGATTTGTGAAGATGCATGATTTAATTTCACGATCTGAAACGGAATGTCGTATGTGGACGTTTTACCTTGACTTTCCAATATTTCTGCACTTTCAAGTAAGACAAACGATGACGATGTTAGATCACACGACGTACATTGCTGATTCATTACAAAGATAAACTTGTTTGATACATAAGTCTTAAAGACACTAAAGTGTATAAAGTTATGTACTGAATGAAAGTATCATTCTAATCACAGTGTAGAATAGCGAAAAAATAAGAAGTAAAAATTGGTTAATATCCGCATTAATATCTACTTGATAACTTGAAGGTTAATAGATTATTATCGAAGTTTATAAATACGAAATCACTTGATACTATTTATCTAAAATCATGGATAACTCTCGTAACCATTTACTAGAATTAATGCGTAAGTACATTCAAAAATTAGTCTGTCTACTTTTAGTCAATAGCAATCCGTTTAACATTAAAGTAAAAATGATTCTATGTAACGGTAAAAGTTACTTCTTGAACGATGGATAATTACTTTAATCAGATTGAATTTTAAAGTTCTTGAAGAAAAAAGCAAAACTAACTTATCTAGGTTATTCCTATAGGAAATAATAGTTTCACATCAAATCATAAATAACTATTGTGCTTTTTTATTTAATTTTGATTTAAGAGTTTTTACCAGTTTCCATATTTATTTTATTAACGACCCCAGTAAAAAAATAAATAGGTACTGATTCTTATAATAATCTAATAAGTATCGAATATCAATCATATTTAAAATTGGTCATACATGAATATCTCCGCACCCAGGAAGTCAGATGACTAAAAAAGAAGACCAACCTTCTGGATCTTCCAATAGGATTGTAGTTATAAATAAATAAAAAAAAAAATATATGAATATCATATAAAATGTATAAAAATTATATATGAATAACTTCTTTAGTCTTCATTTTGTGAGATTAATAGATGACCAATTTCAAACTGCATGATTAACTGCAAGATTAAGGGTCTCTCGAGCATCTTCATTGGAAACCCAAGTGTTTAGAAATTAAACACTTAAAGTGTTTGCAATATTAAACGAACTATGGCAATTTTGTAGTCGACTTTTAAACGCTTTTTGCGTTATAAACACTTTAGATGTTTTAGTGTTTACTTTATTAGTGGAGATGTGTTAAAAAATTCCTTCAGAATTATTTTAGAGATTTTCGTAATTTTTTTTAGAAATGCCGAATTTTTGGCCGATGTTAATTCAGAGCCTTACATCTTTAAATTCACAACAGTCCAATGAACAACAACCACATTGTTCAACATCAAATCCAATAATGAATAATATACCCCCACAAATGAATGGTCAAACATCAGTTCCTCCTAGGTACGTATCACAATTCACTGTAACATTAAAAAGAGTTCGTAAAAAGCAAAACCAATTCAATCGTAGTCTGATATATAATATGTTTCGTCTACTTCGTGATCAAGTTTGAATTTATCCTGGAAAAATTTCTTAGTTAACAAAGCTGAGTACTTTTTTTTTACATAAGCAATTGTGATTTTTAATTTTAGACTTCAAGATGTGCAATTAATAGATTTTATTAATATTTTTATTTATTCACAACCACAAGTGGATATATATATCTAAAGGTGTTTTCGAAGAAATTTGTAATATCAGATAGATGCAGTCCCGAGACTAAATTTAAAACTAATTTTCTACTTCAAAATTTTCAATTCGTTTGATGTTACAATTGCCGCTTATAATTTAATTACATTTTGGGAACCATCAATCTTATTAAAGATTTTGATGTCTTAAATTGATCTAAGAATCTTATTTTGATCATCAATGTCATCATGAACTTTTATACCATTGTTTGTATGGCATTGATACACTTTTGAGGTTCAAAATAAATTTTATAACATCTATTTTTAATCTCAACTTTGTTAAAAAAGACGAAACGAGAGAATTGAAGTCGAAAATGGGCTTAGATTCCATGTCTGATGTTATACTTGTAATTCGAATGTCAACTTCAAAATTTTAATTGAAGACTTTGAAGTTAAAAAAATATTTTAAAGTCTGTCTCGGATATTAAGAGACCTGTAGTGCTTGTGAGGACCATCTTAATACAAATTTTTTTCATATTAGCATGTGCTTTGCGTCTTGGCAGGATTTATTAATATATTTTGACAAATCCTGGCCTGATTCTCTCGATGGATGCATGGATTATAATTTGACTAATATTTTTAGAAAACTAACAAAAAAGGGACAACCTTTTCTGAAGAAATTAACAAATGATCAAAAAGTTTTATTGAAGTACATGTATTCCCGAGATAAAAATTTTAACAAAAACCGAAAATTAGCTTCCAAACTTGGAATTACTGAAGGTCAACTCCAAAGGTGGTACCAACGAAAAGAAAAAGAAGAAAAACAAAAAAATAATGTTAATAATTTAGACAAAAGGCTCGTCAATTTAAGTGAAAAAATAACAGAATTAACACAAAATGTTGAAAATTTGCAAGGTACTGTCGAAGAATCTGATATGTCTAGTGAGGATGATTTAGATTAGATGGAGTTTTCTCGCAAATAATAAAATACATCTCTGTTATTGAATTCGGATAATCTTCAAAAAAAAGTAATCAAATGTAACTTTACGCATATTACTAAATTTGTCATGATGATAAAAAAATGTAATATTGTCAAATAAAATTGCTTGATAGTTGATGAGTTTTTTATTTAATCGACGTCATACCACTGATTAATTGTACACGGAGAACATTTTTGCACTAACCGTAAGTCAAAAATGACAAATGTACTTTTGAATTAATAGAAGTATAGATATTTCTGTTCAATAGTGAATTTTGGGTTGTCATAAGTAATTTTTGAGTTATTGTATGTTATAATTTTGCTGAGACATCTCTTAAGTATCAAGTTCATTTACAAGAGCTCAAAATTTACTATTGAATAAAAATATTTTTACTTCTATGAGCTTGACAATGTGAATAATTGCAGTTTTGACATTAAAGATTATCCGATTGGCAAAGAAAGTAAGTTATTCAATAATTGTAAATGTGACATAGATTAATTTTCTTTATTATAAAATAAATTTATTATTTACCATTTAAAATTATGGAAAAAAGGAGAACTAAAATTGATTATGATTTAATAAATACTAAGCGTAAAAAAACGTCCCGATCTGAGCAATCTAAAGAAGAACTTTTGCAAAACCGTTATTTACACTTGTGATAAGATCAAAAAGAAAAGTAAGAGGTAAAAATAATAAGGATTTTCAAATAAGGAAAATGAATTTTAAACTGTAGTTTTTTGTTTCCTGTTTCATCATTCAATTTATTTTGCTGTTACATTTCTGTTGCTACTCTACCTGCGACTGATTTATACAGAATACTAATTCATTTGAAGATGTCCCAATGCAGGCCATTTACTCATCCTGGAAAAAAAAAATTTGTTCAATCTCGCGTTACAAATATATTAAAAGCATTTATAACAGCTTAATAGATCATATTTTATCATTAAGATATCGAGAAATTTATTTGAGTCTATTTTCATAAGGTTTTGAATAAAGAACTGATAAATTGAATATCATTGAGAAAACTATATTGGAATGACTAGAAATATTCTGTAGTCATTTTTGAATTTAATTATTTTAGACTTTTATAGTAACATTGATTTCAAATGTCTAATGTATATCGTTACTTTATGAAATGTTAACGTTCATACAAATGTAATAATTGACTTTATTTTACCTGATCTGATTCTTCTGAATCGTCACAAGTGGCCATCGAAGTATTTGTCCCCGGAGTTGACGTATTACCATTATTAGAATCATTTGTTTTTCTTTTCTCTATTAGATTGTGTTTTTTATACCACAAATTTACTTGAGCCTCTGTTATCCCATTCGCGACGGCTACTTTCTTTTTTTCTTCAAAATTTTCTTTTGATGAAAATAAGAATTTCAATAAGTCAGATTGGCTTTTTAATAATTTTGAACGTTTTTTTTTAATTTTTGTTTCATTATTATTCCTAAAAATGAAAATGGGGTCGAAGTTATTAAGATTTAAGTAAACAAATTCATACCGAATTTGTACCAAAGTTTTTTATATTAATCTAATTTTTACACTTATTAGAGGAATATCTGTTTTATATGTATGATATGTAGAGCAGAAATGGAGCAGCTTTACAGATAATTTAACGATGAAAGAATCAGTGCAGCTATACAGTAATTATACAATTTTTATTTTTATGTAATTGTTTCAAAGTAGGCTTAAAATCGATTACTTATTATGTAAAATAAAATAATCATTTAGTGTCTTGACTTTTAACTTATTAACTTTTATCGTTTAAGATAAAAAGAGTACATAGAACACTGCGTTTCATTAGCGCACTTTTAAAGTCTTACGCATTAATGAAAATAATATCATTTGATATATTATTATTTGAAATTATCATTTCAAAGTATAGTAGGAAAAGGGTGGGTAAAGTGGAACGCTCGAGAAAATGTAATAATTTGTTAAAATAAGTTTAAAAACGCTTAATGCATGTTTTGTTTATCAATTTTTCAATTGATTAATGCATTAAAAATTATTAAAATTTTTTCATATAATGGATAATTTGTTGATTTAAATTTTTTCGTGGTGTTCCACTTTACCCCCACTTACCCTATATAAGTATTATATCGATAGAAAATGACTCGACATTTTCAAGTTAACAATTTAGTTTTTTTTTTATTGAGAAAGTTAATTTAGCAAATATCATAAATACAAAATAAAAATCCGTGTTATCAATAGATTAAGGATAATGTGAGACAAATTCATAATTCATGACTTTGGTTAATGAAATTAAATCTTCTGACATTCTGACTGGCCAATAAGCAGAAGGTTAAATGAGGTTCTACGAGATCTCCTGAGGGAAGCATATTCGAAGGGTAACATTACATCACGCCTCAAGAACCAGGTATCTGCCAGGTGTTGCTTCTGGGTATTCTGTTGGTGAGTTGATGGTCCTTTCTCTTTCTATCTCTTTCGTTTCAACTTAAGAGCTCCTATTTTCACTTTCAATTACCACACAAGCATGACCATTTCATCTATTATGACTTTCATGGGTTTTTATATTGTTGCCATTCTCTCCTTTTCGTTCACCACAGCTCTCTGTTACTTCAACTTCTGATGTTGCACTTCTCCTTTGCATTGAGATTTGTCATTCTTCATAACTTTTATTCCATTCTTTTGTCAATAAGAAGCTATTTGCCAGCATCTGACAAATTAGAGGCTGAGGAACAGAACCAAGTGATGTTCATGGGCGCGAAAACAAATTTATCTTTCACTAAAATGAATATTCAAACTCGACCAGATGGTCCTCAAGATGCTCTTTCAATCATTCTTGATTTCAATTCTTCTGATATTCTTTGACTTTAGAAACTATTTATTATTGAAGTGGTTTATTAAGTGTAAACTTTAGACTCAAGTTGAAGCTTTTACTGGACCACTTATTCAGAAACAACCATTATTTTCTTTGATTGATGTCAGTTGATTTTATTTTGACTTTTAGCTAAGTATTCTCATCTTTAATCATTGTTTAATTTGTATTAGTTCGACTAATGATTTCTTATATCATTTATTACTTCTAGGTTTACAATAAACATTTTAAATAATAAATGATTCAGTTGCATTGTTATGACATGTTTATTCTAGAGTGAATTAAATTTACTTATGAGAATTTAAAATCATCTTTCTTTTTCTGTGTTCAATTTAAGAAAGACTTTTAATCAAATGTATTCCATATAAAGTGTCAACATTAGTTTGTAAAATAATCCAGCTTTCATAAGTCTTACCAAAGTATACTTGGGCCCTATAAGTCTGTGACTGGGTCATAACTGAATTATGGCTGGATGATAACATCATTTGATGATCAATATCATCCCAATCATGATTGGACCATGGTCCTGTTGTGCATTCCTGTATGGGTAATTCGACTCAAGTGATATTTGGACAGGATCATCATCAGCAGAAAAGTCCAAGTTAATGGAGATGACATGGATAGAACTTAAATGTACTATAAATGAAGACTTTCTTACTTTCTTGATAAGAAAAAAAGAAAGAATGGGAAACCAATGAGAAGGAACTGATAGTGAAAATTTATTTATAGCGGAAGTTTTTTTTTACAATTAAACTTGTACAACTGAAAACCTTGTACCAGTTTTTTCCGTGAGAACTGGATCAGGGTTGATACGGGTTTTATAGGTTTCTTCGAACTTATAGAAAATATCTCTATAAGGTGACGTTATTTTTCACGAAGTTACCTCAGTTTATACGGATTGATCAAAAAATTTATTGAATGTATTTAATCGGCCGCAAAATTATTAATGGGGTCCCAGCTGTTGTAAGAATAACTCTCGATCATCTTGGACAAATAGGGGATTTTATAAGAAACCGACACATAATAAGCCCCTATGATTAGACACGCGTCATTCTTGGCAATACTTTATACTACTGATCTTTTAAGTAATCTTTGCGGGTTTCGTACAATTCTTCATGCCACTCGACCTGCACTTTCATACATAGAATCATGATGTGTGTTCTTATTTGTTATTGTGAGTAATGAAAAAGTAGTAATAAAGTGTCAAAAAGAAAATTGAAAACAAGAAAAAGTTTAACTGAGGAAAAAAAAACAATAGAGGTTGCGACACTTTGCTTTTATTTCAAATCTAGCAGATGTTTCTTGTTTCACGGTCACTCGTTTCACTCAAACTCGTATATTCTTTTCTCACTGTCGTGCCACTTCTTCATTCTATTCAGCCTTATTTCTTCTTTTGTTTCTCATTGTTGGATTTACTGAGTTTTTCAGTCCTCTCTATCATCGTTTTTCTTGGCATCTTCAATATATTCTATAGGAAACCACCAACAAATTTTCAGCAATGAAATTTTGTCGTACATTTTCTTTGAACAGTCGATTTTCCACGCGATTTGAATAAAAGAAGTGTATACAGTGAGGACTATTTTATGAATGAAACGTACTAAGAACTCTTGAAGAATTTTTCCTCAATTGTAAGAAAATTTGTTTCCAATTTTGACTTCTTTGAATGGTTTTTATATTTCTTCCGGAGTCACTTTTCTATTGTTAATTTAGAGGAACTATTTTTATCTCTTCTTTGGAAATTACTAGTTTCAATCCTCGATAGATATTTGAGGATGAATGAAATATTCATTCCACATTAAATTTTTATTAGTAGCTTTAAAAGCAGACAATTTATCTTCAATTGGGAATATTTTTTATCTCATTTCATTCAGAATAATTTTTTTCCTCTGAATTATTCATATTTTGTTTAATAATCTGAATGCACAAGAGATAAGAATCATGTTTATATTATAAAATAATATAAAAAGTAATTATTCCTGATATAATGAGGTCAATTATTAAGTACAATGGTTGAATAAAGGATAGATGGTGGCATTTAGCTCAAAAGGTTAGCTGGTCAATTTGAAGGAGAGGTTGTTTGGTCTTTTCTGTTTACAAAATTACTTACAAAGTGAAATTATGTTAAGGGTAGAAAGGATATCAGGTAAGAAAGGTGAAAGTATAGTTATAGACGAGACTATTGCGTACATCAAAGATTTGAAG